CTGAAATTGTGCCCGGTATATGGCAATAGGCTCACCCCCTATTACATGGGACTCATAACATAAAATAGTGAAAAGTGGATGTTACATGGTACAGTGATATTAAGTGCCGTAATGTGCACATTAGAGATGCACCTCTACCTACCTCTTCGAGGAAGAAAGACGTGATGTTATGTTATGTCTATAAGTCCAAGTGAAAGTACTGCTATAAAACAAACATCTGTAGATATACAACTCCATGTTTCTTCGGAGAAATCATATTTATTCATCGAATCTAGAATTGTATTAGAACCAAGAAATTTCTATCAGAATAGTGAAGGTAGCAAGCAATGAAGATCTTGGATGTATCTTGGTAAAATCATAGAGGTTATTCATCAAAAGAATAAACAGAATGAATTTTGTAGTATGTAAAATAAGTATAGATTTATTTTTCATAACTCCTGTGGATCACTATAAATGTAATGATACAATACAAAAAAGTACTATGACGATTATAGGAAAGAAGGATCATTTTTGGAATCAAGCCCAAGTACAAGTTGCAATCCCAACCAATTTTACTTAGCATAGCAATCGATTTATTTATACTCAAATCGATTCAAGGTTACTCAAAATTCGACCTAAAATGGAGCTATAAACCTAAAAATCTTTCGACACAAATTCCTTAAAACGCTATAAGCTGAATAGAATTCAATTTTGTAGTCTTAATAAGTGAAGATATTTCTCGAGAGCGCGAATACAGTGTTGATTAGTGCTGACAGGTTGCGGATTCGAAAGCCTACCCGTTGAATTATTACCACGAACCCTATTATTTTAAGAGAGATATTCGACTGGAAACAAGGGGAATCTCTAAAGATATGTTCTTGCTTCTACAAATACAAAATGGTTTATTCAGACTGGATTTGTTTTAGAGTGCTTTCTAGTTAGGTTTGCGTCGCTTTGAAAGATTTTTGAATCTGTATTTGAATAAAGTTTTTGATGAAATCTTAATAATCTAGTTTTTTTCTTTTACTATAAATCCAAGTCTTGTCTTTATGACTAACATACAAACTGACTGTAATCGATATCAATAAAAAATATAGTTCAGAAGTACGATGCGAGATCGGTACATCAAAATCTGTCCTCAATATTAATAAAAAAAGAATGATTCAAACCAAAACAGAGAAATACTATTTTTATATTACCAAATAAAAAGTTTTTTAAGACCCGAGAGACCATGTCTCTCGGCCGCGACATAAAGTCATCTAAAACCTCGATCGTACAGCGAATGCGTTGCCAAACTTCCAAAGATAGGTACTTCAACTTTGTAAACTTCCATTTGAAAAATAACGTTAATATCGAAGCACTAACCGTACGCACTGCATTAAACTTAACCGAACCAAACACAACCTTAAACACGACATTTAAAGTTTAGAATCCAATGATGCTAACCCAACGACTTTAGGCGCCGTTTCGCCGTTTCCCTCCATTACCATTTTACAGAGAGTTTCAATAAGCTTTTGCTTTGAAATTGGCTTTTTCATAGTTTTTTTTCTTTCCTTGATAACATTATATTACTTGAATAAATAAGGTCATTATACCGTTGTATTCAAATTGAAGATCGTCCTTGTGGTACTATTCATTTTGTGAGATTTTTAATGTGTTTTTCAAAGAACGTCTTTGAATGGAATTATCTGGGTTTAGATAACAAGTTTTAATATCCATGTTTGTATTGTAAAATTAAACAAAACACGCTTTGTATGAAATGTTTCTACTTCTGCGCAAATTGTGAGGAGAATGAGGAAAATGGATCATGTCTGCGATGTTGGCAACCAAATGGCAGTGTTTATGAGCCATTACGCACTTTATTTCGATACGTTGCTTGCTAATCGCTGCGATATTGGTTTGTGCTACTTCTGTATATGTATGTATATTACGTATCATACTTGTTTTATTACCTTACAAATGATATACTGAATAACCTAAGTTGAGGTCGTTATGGAGACTTCTAATAGTACTTACATAAAAAAGACTGCATAAGGTGATATTTATGCTTTTATCAAATAGTTTGCAACCGCTACAAATCTTTCCTGATTGGCATAAAAACAACGTTAGTTAAAAAAAAAAGATGTAAAATACTGCACAAAATATCGATATATTTTATTGAAACTAGGTTAACAGCGCTTCACGTGACATCAAAGCACCTTTCTGAATATAGCTAGAAAAAAAACAATGTTCTAATGATCGTTGTTGTGTAGTGTGCTCTAAAGAATTGTTCGCTCGTCGTACGAGAGCACCGGAGCAAACAATTTCTCTCAACGGACTTTAGAAACCAACGTGGGAAAAAACACACGTTGTAAGAAACACAGACACATCCCGAAGCAACAAAATAAAGATACCGAATACTGTAAAATATTCAACGACATCTCCAACTTTGGCAGCAACAAATATAAAAATATTCCGAAGTAAATTTCGTATACAATTATTATTGGCTTACTTTTAAGTGGACGGATTTTTTCGTTCTCCAAGGTCTGGCTAATAAGAAAAAAGTCAAAAGAAACCTCGAACACAATAGGAAACTTAAATTTGGAATAAAGTTCAGGGCTCAGAAACCTTTTACCGCGACGCCAAACTCACAAAAGTGATTTAATTCCAATTCATTCATGACCCACTGAATGAGTCCATCTTAATTCGTTGCCTGCTCCTCACTTCAATAAAAGTTACAAGATTCCGAAAATTACTTGTTCAATTGAAAAGTTTCCAGATTGCCAGCGAGCAAAATAATTAAATTTAGCTCAAAACTCTCTTGAAAGTGACTAAGTTTTATAATGGTTTACGACAATGTGGATTTATTAATTTCGTATGAGAAATGCGTCAAAGAAATGTGTACCTGTGTGTTGTTTGTGCTATTCTGTAGTAAATTGCATTTCAATCACGTGGCAGATCAGATGTATTACCAGTTTATCTCACCCTAAGCGTAAGACAAGGGAAAATGGGTTGCTATGATATTTGTAAGCGAGAAGCTGTCGAGATAGCGTTGCAGGCTGTCACGGTGCGCGGTGCGTAGATTGAACAAATACGATAGTACCTGCCGCCTGAAGCATTGTACGCTACTAAGCAAACTCGTGTTTTACGAAAGAAAGATTTATTACATACTTATTTTGTTTGTGACAAAAATGTTGCGCGATATTTGTTTTGTTATTATAGATAATTTTCCTTAAAAATTAAATCATACAACAATATTATTAGTAATCATAATTATACAAAAGTTTGATTGGCGTATGGTTTTAACAATGGTGTAACATAAAATGTACTGACAACGAAAATGAATGCAATAAGTAGTCAACCGACCAAACAATATGAAGACGTTGGTAGGTCATGGTGAGAGGGCTCAAGAGTCCTTCGGAACCAAAAGTGTTTCCAAAGGGAAGCGCTATTAAAGAGTTTTTTTAATTAGTACAAGGCTTGAAGAACGATCAAGTATGAGAAATATAAACATTTCGGGGATCGAAGAACATCGTTGATTTATATAAATATTTACATTAGTATTACTAAGAAGAACCATTAATTTGTGAATAAACATTTAACATATTTACATTATACACATTCTCTCTTGTAATAACACAGAACTTCTGATATGGGGTTTGATTTAGCGTAAAAGGCAAACACATATACGACTTCAACGATAAACACCTAACTAATGCAACATGTTTATAAGTGAACTATTTTAATCAAGAATTTCCTCATTACGAATTAAATGGTGCAATCGACTAAGTTCTAACAGTCAATTGAAGCAATTTAATGAACTTTTCAAACTCGGTCACCACTTTAACTTATAATAAGAAAACTTACACATTGTCGGCATTCATTTCAAATGCTCAAAGTCCTCTAAAATTGTCAGACGTTCTCAAAGTCGGTAATAAGAGTGTAGGAGTACCACAAGGGCCTACACTAGGACCATTATGATAATTACTCACACGGGCCAACTGTAACACAATTTGTATGAGTGGGTGAGCGTCAAAGCTTATCCTTTGGAGATTAATTTTGAAAGAGTACTACATTACTCCAAGTAATTACTGACAGAAGCAATTAATCCAGCCCCGGTCTTTCCGCCCTCTGGCTGAAATATTGTCGGAGCACATAAGTTTTCAATCTGCTTCGATGGCTTTCGGTGTGATTGCATAGAATCTTTTATTTAGTTTCATACAATCGAACGATATATTTTTATGTTTTATGCAATGAAAGTGTAAGTTACGTATTTTTATCTTCATTTTGATTATAAAGGTTTTATCATTTTGTAAAAATAATATGATGTAATCAATTGATCAAGTATGAGATGTAGAATAATAAAATAAATAGGTGATTTTACGTTTAATTTATCAGGTTATCTACTGCATAAAAGCTAGCTGTACGTAAAAATATCAGTGATACATTTTCTTTAATAAAACGCATAATAAAATAATACCGCAAATTTAACAAATCCATGTAACAAAAATGATTTTTATGAAACTCATGTTTCGTTATTATATTCATTACGTAATTGTTTTCAATACATCAGTAATTTATCCGTAACAATATCAGTCCGCGTTTTAATTAAAAGATCAAGCGTAATCTAATTAAGTCGACGCTACGTTAGCAAAATACAATCACTCACCATAAATCATTGAGATGAATAGCAGTATTGCATTCAATATGTATGAATGCCTCTTTATCCTCTTCAATTCCCCGGCCATTTTGTCTATATTATATTATTTATAAATATATACTATTTAATTTGACACTCTTCTTCTTTTCATCATCACTTAACACTGTAATTTATTGTTCCTATTATCGTACCATTCAATGTCTATCTTCTAATGACTAAATAGCTACACATCTTGTCACAATTTATTCGCTTTTACAACTATTATACTACTTCCTACTAAATACGTCAACATTTATTCTACTTCGTAATTAACGCGCTGACAAATAGTTTTATGACACTTAGTTAAAACGAATGTCACTTCATATATTAGAGTTCCTACTTAATGTTCGTCTATTTTTATTTCATCCTTAACCAATGTTTGGCGCTTAAATCGTACGGCACTTGTGACTCTAGTAACGCGTGTTTGGATTACTTGACTGAGCATAATGAGCGAGGAACATCTAAAATTAACTCGAAAATCTCCGTTGTTTTCATATATAAATCTTATTTAATCCCGGCGCGTAAGTTTGAAAGAAATTTTCATTCCGGTACAACATTCCCGTTACAAAATTTACGGTCACTTGACACACTTGTGTACACTCGTGTTCATAAAAGTTTCGCATCACAAGAGGATTCACTGATATTTTTTGGTGTGGGGAACAAGTTGGGTATCGGCATCGTCGATGTGATTTTTTCTGTTGGAGCGCGCGCGTCCGTTTCGGAAGGCAGCTGCGAAAGCACTGACTTACATAAGGGATTCTCCCGGTGCCACCCGAGCGTCTGTCGGAGAGGGATGGCACACGATTTTCGTAAGGGTTGCAGGTCGCGTGCGGTACGTTGCGAAAGAGACGGAAGAGATTTTCGCATTCAGGCCGTAGTCCGCTGAAACGTAACGTTGAAATCTTGTGTGAAGACGCAATTAAAATGTACATAAATCTGAAAGAGATACGTTTCAGGAGTAACACGTCCAAGTTAATAAGTGCTTAACTTGACAGTTAATAGCATATCTGTGCTCATAATTCTTAGTTAGAGATTACCAGGCGTTGTGGTGTTACTGACTTCATTAATTACTGTCAATTCATTGACAGGAAGACGATTATTAAATGAGATAAGATTAATTTGTTCGCAGTTATTAGAAACATTCATCATATATTTACAGTAAAATATAATTAATCGGTAATTATAAGTATATTGAAATTTTGGTCATAAACAATTGGCTCAGAAAAAAATTGTAATGTGGTTTTTTAAAGTTACTTACGTATAGTTCACGCTTATAGATAATAGTAAATTAACCTTACTTACCTTCCTACCTTTGCAATAAAAAGGATTATATAATATCCAAAACCATTATTCACAAAATTGTCTCGTTTTATTCAGAACCTCTGCTAATACTGCTTTTTAAATTATACGGAGCGAAATTGGTGGATATAAAATTCAAATCAAGCCTGTCTTTTTGGAGTCAAATCATTTAGCAGTTTGTCTTCGATCGTCTCAGTACTGGCGATACAGAATGAATGCCGTATTAAGTTATTTTGCCTTTTTTGTTTTAATAATGTCAATTTTAAATACCTTTTTATCTTGGGTGTAGGTACCTTTATAGTTGTGATTGTCACCTTGGATTGTTTTAACAGCAAATTGACATGATAATTTAGGAACATAATTCTTGAATGCTTGGCACTAAGTATTTGTTGTTTCATTTTCAACTTGCAATTTGATACAGTGTATGCTTGTGATAATGCAAATGCTACAGTTACATTTAAACGATTGAAAAACATGACAGTAAATTAGAACTAAATTTGATTTTTTTACCTAACTAGATTAGGCAACAACATGGCCGCTAGTACAGAAATAAAATCAACTATTTTGAATAATGCTAATATCACATTTCGACAAAGAAAGATGTCGCTAAGCTACTAACACTTCACATAATTAAAAACTTAAAACGGATTACACGAAGAGAGGTGTAACAAAGCGAGACGGGACTTGCTGAGTGCTTACATTATACCTAGGTACAATGCTACAGTGTTGCTAGTCACATTTTTTTGTAGTACCTAAGTGTTTAAAAGTTGTCTTAGATGGCGCTGCGTACGGTTAGCAGGGGTAGTTTTTACTTTTTAGTGTGAGAGACCCATGCTTGGCACAAATGGGCCGGCTTGACCGCAGTTCACCGGAGTAATACCACGGCCTCACAGAAAACCGACGTGAAACAACGTTTGCGTTGAGTTTGCATTGAGAGTGTGAGTGAGGTTACCGGATTCCTAATTCCAAATTAATAATCCACAGTCCCCGTTTTCCGAATCCCCGCATCCTCCACAATCCTCAAATTCCCAATTCCCAAAAGGCCGGTAACGCACTTGTAACGCCTCTGGTGTTCCAGGTGTCCATGGGCGACGCCGATTGCTTACCATTAGGTGATCCGTCTGCTCTTTTAACGGTTTATAAAAATACGTCAATTTTTTTTGTTTTTACTTTATGGATAGAAAGTGCTCCTTTTGGCAAATTTTTACTCGTGAGACGAAATCGAAATAAATTTTACGGTGTATACTAAGATGAAATAGAAGAAGATGTGTAAATCTAGTTAAATATATGTATGTACAAAATAACTTACTCAGTCTATCACAGGTACAACATCTAGGTTTTCCTCTGTAGGGCAATGCGGATATTTGAAGTCGGGTATCTCTGTAAGCAATACAATATTTAAATTTGTTTATCTTTACTTTTTGTTTATTTATTTTTTAAAAACGTTGCCCCTCACTAGGATTTTCTCCTGTGTCGTGGGTGCGTTTACAAACATACAAGTTCACATACACATGACACCCAGACCCGAAACAACAATTTGTAGATCACATAAAGTGTTGTTCCGTGCGGGAATCGAACCCGCGCCACGTTGCACCGCAGCCGGTTGCCCAGCCACCGCACCAACCGTGCAGTCATGATTGAAATATTATAATAATATTGAATCATGAAATATTATAATAATTTTATTTTTTTATGTCTGTAATCTTCATAGATTGTAATATACTTGATGAGAAGGTGCTGACTTTTCAATTATAAGACATGTAGCGATGATAAGATGTGGACATATGTATGTATGTGTGCTTTTCAGAAAAGTGTTTGTTACACTTAGAAGAAGGTTTTATGATATTGATTACAAAAAAAAATAAATAAATAAGAGAATAGACTGGCAAGGGGTCTCGGGTTTGATTTTCGGGTCGGGCAAAGAATTACTGGGTTTTTAAAAAAAATCTCAGTAGTAGCACGGAGTCTGGAAATATGGCAATAGGCTCACCCCCTATTACATGGAACTCATAACATAAATAGTGAAAAGTGGGTGTTACTTCTGTGTGCACCTCTGCCTACCCCTTCGGAGATAAAAAGGCGTGATGTTATGTTATGTTATTATAAGATAAATTATTTTATTGTTTATCTTGTATTATCATCAAGTAAGATACCTTTGTGGAATTTGCTGCGTGCAGCGGAATCGTCTGCCACGATAGGTATAGATGGTTGTCCAATACGATTCTCATCATCTACAAAAAAAAACTAAGTTATAATATGACCTCGTGGGAATCAAATAAAAAAATTAGGAGACTGAATGTTTCTTAGCAGCTACGCTATTTTGTAACTTTCCATTTGAAAGATTGAAGTGAACTCGATCGCAGTCCACCATGTCATTGGTTATTAGAATAATCTCGACCAATGACGGGTGAGTTCGAACTCATTTCGAATGCTCGAATTGACAGATAGAATTGATAGTTACAAAATAGCCTAACTGGAGTGATTACGCAATTATTTGTGAAGGCAAGGTTGTTCGATTCCGGGGCCCCACAATACATTACTGTCTATTCTATTTTGAACACCATCATACTCCTTTAATGTTCATACTTATAGGACATTATCAAGGGAAATAGTTTACGTTTACTAAGCCGACACAAAACCCCGAAAGAAAGGAGCCATCAGACGCAATACGGAGCCGCGGAGGGCTTAACGGGCTGCCGGGGCTCCAGCTCAAAGTGCAGGAGTAGGAACGGAGTGGTTTTTAGTCAGTAAAAGTCTGACACTCCCTCTCGCCTCACCCGGGCGGGAGAAGCCGTTGGATAATTTTTCACCATCAAAAAAACAAATAGCCGACACAAAACAAAATCAAACAAAAAAACTGGAACTCAACAGGAGCTTACGACACTCAACCTACACCTATATAGTAAAAATAAGTTATGAATATTCAACAATAAAAAGCGACTCAACCAAATCGCGTTACGCAACAAATTGAATTTTCAAAAGAGCGGGACAAATAGAGTAAGCAACCCATTAACTATGCATTCCCTAGTTCCAACCCTTTTGGGTAACAACCAATACAAAACTAATCAAACCATAGTTTAACTTAACTTCATGACGAGGTCACATCTACACGGTTCATTGCCTTCAGGGATGAAGAACATTTTATTAGCGGAAGGAATACTCATTCCGTCAAAGTCGATTTAGAATTTGATTTAAGATTTGTATACATTAAACAACTTTAATATCACAAAATAGCTAAAGGAAAGTAAACCTTTAATCCTAACGTTAAAGCGTAAAATGAGTTAGAGTGAGCCAAGCGAGTTTTGCTCAAAATAGAACAGACAATAAGAGGGGACGATTTTATAATTAACTGCAATCAACACTGACGTATTGAATTTCTGGAATGTCTGTACAGTCGCGTTGAAATGTTGTATTGTGATGTTTGTGAAATTAATGTTTTTGAATGGATATACTTGGTATTGTGATAGGTGTAAAGAAATAGTTATTAAGTCGTGTTTGGAGCGAAGAGTACTTTTATGAGCCTCATAATTTGGTTTATAAGATCATTCTTCTTCTCGGTCATATTTACATAATATTCTACTATTCTGCGAAAGGAAATAAATGAATAAACTCGTGGACCTTTACAGTAACGAACCATAATTTGGTATCTTTGAAACGTCAACAAATATAAAATAAATAATAGTCTGTCAGTCAGTCCGTCAGTGAAGGTAGGTAAAGCTAGGTGCTCATTCCAAAATGTATCAAACGGAGAATTAAATGCTCTTTTCGAAAACGTATGTTCTACAATGTCTACAATACATATTCCAATACTGTACGCATGTAAGAACAATGATACAAAGACACGCTTACACAAATTACAAAACTTACTAAAATAAAATAACATTGATCTTAGATTTACTAGTAATGAAGATAAACAAAGTACAAGCAACATTTTTGGAAATTAAAACATGACCTAAGTAATTATATTGATATGAATAATTCGATAACAACGATCGCATCATCGCAAAAATAAAGTGATGCGATCGTCATAATCGGAACACTTTGTTTTTACTAAAAGTCTCAAAGTAAAAAGTTTTGCACTGCACAAAAAAAATCTTTATATATACCTATAATTCTTCTGTGAGTGTGTATGTCACTGAACTTCTCTCAAGCAACTGGACTGATTTTGATGAATGTTTTGTGTGTGTTCAAGGGGATCTAGGAATGGTTTAGATTCACAAATCAGCCCGGCAGATGGCGCTGCAGTCAGTGTCTAGGTTAGTTATCCTAAACGGCAGAATTAATTTGAAAATGAATTTTTGTTTATACATTCAAGTTGATATGCAGAACAACGTCTGTCGGGTCCGTTAGTATATATATATATTATATTTGAACATTGACATCGCTCTTAAACACCATTTCCTCACTTATAGATATGACTTCAAAACACAAAAAAATCATCATAACACCCCACTAAAAACTACTCAAAATGGGAACCAATCATTCATGAAGTGTACTCATTCCCTCCCTTTCTTAACTCGCGCCCGACAGATGTTAACACACGCTGTTTATTTTCTTATTTCGAAAGATACATATGTTATGCCCTCTCCCGAGGAATGCCCGTTTTCGTTTTTATTTATGTCACTAGAAATTAACTCCGTCCCAAGTTTGTACATTTAATTTCTTAATACTCGGTTATTCGTTTGTTTCTGGGGTGTTGCAGTGGGTATTTTTTGCTATGTTATGTTTGATATTGTACGTATTTTTTATTAATATTTTGATGTGAATGAAAATATAAGAAATATTTGTATTATAACTTTCGTGAGCAATGCTAAATAAATTATTATGTTTTCGGCTTACTCACGTTATTATTTGACGAACTCGACTAGTTTCAAGCCTCATATTAGCATTAAATGCTGCTCATGAATATGAGCCTCTAGCAGTAAGCCGAAAACATAATATTTTAATAAGTTCTTAGTTAAAGTATAATTAAAATAATGTTAAAAATTAATCCCATTTCTAAATGATATAAAGTGTAAAATGGATGCTGCCTCGTTGACCGAATAATCGCAATAGCGATTTCGCAAGGGGTTTCGGGTTCGATTCCCGGGTCGGGCAAAGTATTACTGGGTTTTCTAAAATTCTCAGTAGTAGCACGGAGTCTGGAATTGAGCCCGATGTATTATTATAGCAATAGGCACGCCTCCTATTACATGGGACTCATAACATAAATAGTGTAAAGTGCGTGTTACATTATACAGTGGCATTAACTGCCGTGTTATGCACCTCTGCCTATCCCTTCGGGGATGAAAGGCGTGATGTCAAAAATTATAAAAAACATATTTTGAATCACTAAGAAACTTATCCAAGGAAATATAAATTAAAATTATTTTACAAAAAAAAGTATTTAATAACAAACTACACATTTTAAATATCGATCTAACTACTACAACAAATACTATAATATGTCGAAGTTTTACATAAACATACATATTGGCTAAATACTTGTGGCGAGTTGACATGTCTTACGTCAAATATCGATGAAACAAATCAACGGATGACGTCACAAAAATCCTACATCGCACTGATAAAATTTACATGCAAATTAACACTGGTAGAAAATCACAACGAACAACTGTTGGGCAGAAAGCCCGCCAGGCACGATCACCTCGCCTGGTCGGAGGATCCTCCTTTTCCGATCTTAGGGAACTATACTCTCTGTTCCGTAAATGCTCATCCCTAATAGCCACCTATCGATATCAAAGCGTAAATTCAAATACGGAAAATATTTCAATCAATTTACATACAATTTCACAATTAGGATAAATTAGTAGTGAATAAATATACCTTTGATCCGATTACAACTAGTTAGGCGACTGATCGAGTGAATTAAAACTTCACTTAATATTGTTCATGCGTTTATATTGGTTGTTAGTTGAGTGCTAAATATATTTTGTTATCGATTTGTTCTTAAATTTCTGATAGGAATCGTTATTACATTTAGGTAAATATATATTTTTAGGTTAGGTACATAATATAATGATACAAATACTGCTTAATGTATACATGGGGCTTTTCTTTAGCGTTTGATATTAGAAATAGAAATTGAATATAAAAACTTAATACTATGTGAATCCCGGCAGAGCCAGTAGCAGAGTGATAGGGTAGATGACTAATGTTTATTTGTAGATCATTTTGAAATATTACATATATTTTTACTTATATATTTTTTTTACAGAAACAAATACTTTCGACGAATTATTGATTTGAAATATCGCGTGACGTCACTTTATTTTATACGTAGAAATGACGTTTTAGCCCCCACTCTTAAATTTTGATTCATTATATCTAAGTACAATTTTATTATACATACATCAAAAAAAAAAAAAAATACGTGTCTAATATTTTTTCATTACTAATTACATTTTTAATTTTCATACCCCGCCATCATCCCTTTTGTATATTGTGAAATAAACACACGACAAAAAATCACATTAATTTGTCACTACTCAATTAACAAGCCTGTCAGCTACAGTCACATTCCCCAAAATTAAACTGAACATTCCCATATTGAATTCGCCAAATCCCTTTAAATTGTCACAACAAGGGTGACTTGTGTATTTATAGAAAAAACACCATGAACATTGACAAATGCTGAACATCAGACATGAAGCGTCCATAAAGAGGGGAGATTTAAAAATGACTCTATTTCAATGAGATACAAGATGCTATTTTTGTTTCCCCTAAGTCCCAAATTTAAGCCCCAATTTGTCTTTGAGTTTCTAGTACGTGAAATTATCAATTAGAGTGAGTTTTTATGTGTTCGTAAATATTGACAGTCGTTGGTTTTATTTATTGGGTTCTTACTGGAAATGAGTACGAATAGTTCAGAGCTTAAGAGGTAGTTAAAATGATAAAATATATACGGCTTTTGTTCGCTAGTCATGTTATGTCTAGTAGATCCAATGGAAGATGATATTTCTGTTAGTTGGCAAGTTTCTTATCATGAAATCGTTTATTATGATTTTATGTTGATGAATTTTTTTGTCATAAATTGATAAGGATTTTAAACCTTATTATTGCTTTACTTATAATCATCTTGTCTTTTTGATCTTACTTATGTATTTGTACTGTGTACTATTTATTTTGAAATGAAAAATATGTTTTCAAATTGAAAGAGTTAATTTTGTTTATTGAAGTAGACCTGCCCCAACAGTTGGTGTTTTAAAAACAAATGAGAGTTCAATGGTCC